TCATCCTCCCTCTTCATCCTCCCCCTTCATCTTCCTCCCTCCCTCCTCCTCTTCCTCCTCCCTCTGCATCCTCCCCCTTCATCTTCCTCCCTCCTCCTCCTCCCCCTTCCTCTTCCTGATCCAGTCGTCGTACTTGCTGTGGCGGCGGGTTGTGCTTCTGCTCTTCTTTGGCTGGCACCGTCTTCCCCCGAATAGAACGCACGGTCATTATCGCTGAATCTGGACTGAAAGTTGCCACAAATACACCTATATTGACCGTACACGCTAGATGGGGGAAGAACGTAGTTGCGCGCAGTGGCCCCTTTCTCCCAATGGACCCCATGTTGGGTACGTTTTTCAACTCTTTTTTTTTTTTTTAGGCTTTCCACTTACACACAAATCGAGTTTCAAAAAATAAAAATAAAAAAAATGAAGTTTCAAAGTGCACAGAAGTGCATGAAGCTACGCACATTCTTTCTTTCTTTCTTTGGGAGGACGCACACTACTAGCTCGATCTTAAATAAATGTATCTGACCGCATTTACGTCCAGACCTGGATGTATCTGACCGTCATTGCGTCCAAAAATGAAGTAAGAAAGTCATAGTGTGAGTATATGCCCTTTGAAGAGTGTAATGGACTGATCATAGGCAAACGTCTTTTTTTTTTTTTTCCCCCTTTTGGAAGGCTGTGTTCATTTTACTGCTGTCGCAATAACTGAAAACGTGATGAAGATCTTGTTCCTTCGTTTTTTTTTTTCTAATTTCTTTTTTTTTAATTTTGTTCATTGGAATTTCTAACTGAGATTTGGATGACGATTTGATCCTGAATCGCTCCCTTGTAAACAATACTCACATTAGCACGTTCTGGACTGAGCTCTGGACGTGATTACGGTTAGATTCATCCAGGTCTCGCCGTAACTGCAGTCAGATACATTTCGAAAACTGTGCTAGCGCGAGTATGGCCTGAATGAATTTCTGCTTTTTTTTTTTTCTACTTCTTCATTTGGGTCTTGCTGACCCCAAATACACCAAGTCAAAAAAAAAAAANGGATGGGCGCTCAGGGGGAGGGACGGAGGGAAGGGAAAGGGAGGGAGCGAGGGAGGTGCATCGTTCAGATGTGCTGTTTACGCACCTGCAGGGTAACGTTGCCGTGTGATCGCCATCATCTGCATGCGGTGCTTACCAGTGGCTTTTTTTTCGAATCGATGTTCTGCTGCAGTCATCCGTTGTGCAAGAAGAAGGGGTGATTGATGGATTGATTTATTGATTGATTGCTTCCTCGAATTTCGTCCTCAAGTTTTTTTCAAGTCCGCTGCTGCGGCTTCATCTTGGTAAGCAACAACAAACTCTGTGTTTTGATGCAGGAACCAAAACAAAAAAAAAAGAAGAAAAAAAAAAGCAAAGAACATTCTTCTCTAAGTTCTCTCTACTTTTCCACGTGAAAAACCAACACTCTTTTCATGCAGGAAAAAAAAAAAGAGAAAAAAAGAAAGAATATTCGTCTCTCCACTCTACCACGTGGCACGTGCTGATGTTTCTGAGTGCCATGAATATTCTCCAGCTCATGATAAATTTTTGTACGGGAGTCTCTCCTAATCGCACTTTCCTGCATGTATCTGACCCGAAGTTTGTCCAAATGAATGCGGCAGACCGCCAGGTGAAATGTCGTTTTTTGCTGTTTTTTTTTTTTTTTTTTTCTTCCTGAAGAGAAGAGAAAAGGCAGACAAATGGTAGAACGGCGTGTCCGTTTTTAATTAAACAAAAAAGCCAAAAAAAAAAAAAAGGAACAGGATGCCCCATTGAATTTGGGGGAAACTCAAGAGGGGAATCACGTTTAATTCAATGGCAATAAATTAATAGTGAAAGTGTGAAAAAAAAAAAAAAAAAAAAACGACAACTGAAAAGTGGGAAAAAAAAAGAAAAAAATGAAAAGTGGGGCTCATCCTTCTATCACCGACCCACGCGCAATTTGGTTTCAAACTGAAGGACGTTCTACCTGTGAAAGGGGGGAGGGAGGGGAGGCTTTACCTCACTTGCCTCAATCTCCTCCTCCTCCTCCTCCTCCTCCTCCTCCTTCTCCCCCTTCATCTTCCTCCCTCCCTCCTCCTCCTCCTCCTCCCTCTTCCTCCTCCCCCTTCATCTTCCTCCCTCCCTCCTCCTCCTCC